ACTACGGAAAGAGCCCAGATGTCCATCAACAGATGAATGGATAAAGAAGATGTGGTGTGTGTGTGTGTGTGTGTGTATACACACACACACACACACACACACAATGGAATATTACTCAGCCATCAAAAAGATGAAATCTTGCCATTTACAATGATGTAGATGGAACTAGAGGCTATTATGCTAAACAAAATAAGTCAGAGAAGGACAAATACCGTATGATTTCACTCATACGTGGAATTTAAGGAACAAAACAGATGAACGTAGGGGAAGGGAAGGAGAAATAAAATAAGAGGAAAATAGAGAGGGAGACAAGCCATAAGAGACTCTTAACTATAGGAAACAAACTGAGGGTTGCAGGAGTGGAGGTGGATGGGAGATGGGGTAACAGGGTGATGGGCATTAAGGAGGGCACTTGAAGTGATGAGCACTGGCTGTTGTCTGCAACTGATGAATCACTGAATTCTACCTCTGAAACTAATAATACAGTGTATGTTAATTAAGTTAAATTTAAATAAAAATTAAAAAATAAAATGTTATAAGAATAAGTACTTTGGATAATTGGTCTGGTTGCCATTTCTCCATTGATTTTCCAATTATTGCCAGATTTTCATTTAGTTAACTCAGGTAGATTTTTTTTTTTTTTTGCTACTTCTACCAAGAATCATGATACACATGTGCTCTATCCCCAATCTTTCCTCCCGTCCCTTCTTGCGCTAAGGTGGAGGATGTAAGAAACAGGAAAATAAGCAATGTATTGCCATATATTGCAAGTTCTGATTCTCTTGAGGGAAAGAAAAGAGAGAACTACTAAAGAAAGTAGAGAAAAGATGGGAAGGCAAGAGAAAGGTAGAAAAGGGACCATAAGAGCAATGTGTTCCAGAGAGTAGGAAAATATGCTTTACCTGCCAGCAGTGAGACTTACAGAGGCTAGAATTGGCTCAGTACATCTAAAAAACAATGTAATGACTTTTGGTTAAATATGATAGGTAAAACATGCATCTATCTTTTCTCCCTAATGAAACTTCATAAAAAATGTATGTAAAAAATGTTTTTTAGGGGAAAAAGTTATAAACTCACAAGTACAGAGACTGTCAGAGAAGATATCTACAGATAATAAGCATCAACAAATTTTTAGAAGGTGTAATTTGATAGAGTTGTCAACAGGAAGGGAAATATGAATAGCAAGTGCCTGCAAAAAAGCATACCATGAAAGCAAGACGTTCTCTTCATAGGAGAGACAATGCCAGGGCAAGTCTTGGGCATTGGAGGACCCTGATACCTTGAAGCTGAGATGAGTCACAGGGCTGAAGATTGGTCGAAAATCTTTATAACAAGCAATGAGACCTGCAGGTCAGATGCCCTCTTCTGTGCAGCTGAGTGACTATTCCTCCCAAAAGATTCTAAACTGCAGGATATCAAATATGACTGAGGGTAGAAGACAGATGCTGTGCAGAGACCCCCTTCCACTGCTCAGCTTGGCGAAGGCTGCCAGCCCGTTGTCTGTGACTATTCTGTAATCCCTTCCCCACTCTGAAGAAGGAGGTGGTTGGATTCTTCTCTAAGGAAACCAAACCATCCCAGAGAAAAGCCCTACATAATCTAATATTTAAGGATTCCCCCAACAAAATGGCTGGTCCCTTCCTGATCACTGTATAGTGAAACCCACCCAGGAACTGAAATTTTAGTGCCTCATGCTTAAATAGGATTAGACAATCAAAGATCACCAGACACCTCCAAAATGAAAGGTAGAAACTAAAGCAGACAGAAAAACAGAAGTTGCTGGAAACATAGATGACACAAAGAATCTAAGAATACTTTTAAAGATATATTCTCAGAGAATATATATTCAGGTATTCACATTATATATAATGTGTATTTATAGTCTCTACATATGTTATAGAGGATATATCTTAAAGTTATATTTGTAGAGAAAAAGATACTGCACTTATGAAAAAAGAACAAGATGCTTAAAGAAAGAACAGAAAACAAGAAAGAACTCTTAGAAATGAAAAATATAACAACCAAAATTTTAAAATTCAATAGGATTCTAAGAAAAGTTGAGGAAATCTCTCCAAAAATAGAACAAAAAATAAGGAGCTGAGGAACAGGATAAAAGAGTAAGAAAATTAGAAGACTATTCTGAGATGTTGACTATCTAACAGGAAGGCCAGAAAAAAGAAGATAGAAAAAAAATACAAAGGATAAAGTTATCAAAGAAATAATGCAAAAATATTTCTCAGAATTGGAGAATATGATTTTCCTATTTGAAAAGGCCCATCAAATCCCCAGGGCAATTTCTGAAAGAAAAGACACTAAGTACATTATTTTGGGATTTCAGGAGAAAAAAAAATATCCCAAAGGCTTCTAGAGAGAAAAAGCAGATCTTACACAAAATATTAGTAATCAGAATGGTTTTAGACTTCTTAACTGTAATATTATACTAAACGTTAGAAGACATTGCCTTCAAAATTCTGAGAGAAAATACTTTCCAACATTAGCTGCCCATCCAAACTATTAGTCAAGTACAAATACAGAATAGAGATGCATTCAGATATATAAGATCTCAAAATGTTTCATTTACTCTGTCTCAAGAAGTTAGTACCAAACTTGCTTCAACAAAGAGGGAATAAATCAAGAAAAAGAGGACGATGTGAAATTCAGGAAACAGGAGTCCAGCATAAGGGGGATGCGAAGGAAAGTCTCAGGTGTTCAGCTGTGCAGGAGGCCTAAAGAAAAACAAACAGAAAGCAGTGGGGAAGGGAAGGTGAATGGAGCTGATAGATCACCTAAGGTGTTTGACCACATGAGAAGTAATATTTGGAAGATTTTATGATTCTATTCCAGATTTTTTTTTAAAGATTTTATTTATTTCTTTGAGAGAGAGAATGAGAGAGAGAGAGAGAGCATGAGAGGGGTTTGGGTCAGAGGGAGAAGCAGACTCCCCGCTGAGCAGGGAGCCCGATGCGGGACTCGATCCCGGGACTCCAGGATCCTGACCTGAGCCAAAGGCATCGCTTAACCAACTGAGCCACCCAGGCGCCCTCTATTCCAGATTTTAATGAATTAATGTGTACATGGAAAACTAAGCAAGTAAAAAAAAGTGAGGCTATTTTTAACTCCTAGAAAAACAAAAAATTATACCAGAGAAGAGGTATAATTATACAACACCATTTGTCTCATCTGTGAATAATATTTACATTGTCATAATGATCTAAATAGTTAAAATTCATTTTAAAAAACATGAATTTATGGGGAGGTTAGAAGGGGGAAACAGAGGTAGGTTGTAAGTGTGGGTGGGGGACGTGGGGATGGGAGTAAGCATTCTATGTTCTCTTCTATATTAGGAAGAAAGTAGAAAATGTCTTAAAATGACAAATCAAGAAATAGCCATATAAGCATTTATTTAAAAAATGAAAGAAAAAGTCAAAGTGAGTTTAAAAATGGTTAATTCAGAGGAGTCAAACATAGGGGTGGGTACTACATTGGAAAGCACCTGACGTCTGTTTTTTGTTATAAGCCTTATAATAGTATATGACTTTTAAAATTAGACACATGCCTTATTTTCATTTTTTAAAGCTAAACATTGTGGGTATTTATTTTTTCTCTTATAGCACAAAAGCAGGAGCAGAATTTACTAAATGATTACATTTCTCAAATGGCAAAAGACTTTTCGAGATATTTTAGCAACACGGTAAAGAGTCAATGCATTCCTCCTTCTTTCATTTATTAGAATACTGATATATATAAATTGTAATTGTGTGTGTGTGTGTATGTATGTATGTAAACATAGAGACTCTAGACGCCACTAACATGTAATCATGGGAAGATCATTGGGGGGCCTCAGTTTTCTTATTTAAGTTAGAGACTGGAAGATGCTTTCTAAGGTTCTTTTCAGATCTGTTATTCTGTAATTTCCTGTGAAGACCAGGATAAGTGCACAGAGGTTGCAGAGGTGGGGAGGGAGTGGTCTATATGAAATGAGAAAAGGTGAAGAGACGTTTACTACCTTTTTTAAATGTATAATAAGTAGTTAATGATAAACATATGTGTGTAGAGTTGGCCAATTAAAAATAGAAACATTCTATTTTTTGAGATGCACTGATATTAAAAGTAACTTTTAACATGTTGTGGGTATAGAGAAGGATGAAGGGGAAGAGTACTAGTAAGTATATTATATATGCAATTGTATTTTCTTAGTCAGATTCTGCTAGTGATGATTATACAATGACTAAAGATTATGTGATTTATAACAGTATAATGACTAAGAACCAAATACAGAATTCAGTAGAAAATTCTGAAGAATCCATAAAGTAATATTCTTTTCTCCTCAAGAAAACTGAAATTTTCCCTGAAAAAGCCTCAATAAAGTCTACTTCCTTCTCCCCCATTTTTGCCATACAGTTGTTCATATATCAAATATATTCTATTTTATGAAATTGTTTTAACAACTTGTCTTAACTTGCTTCCCAGAGTTTATGGAAAAATTTCCATAAATCAGCTTTGGGGTTTTATTTATTTTTTATTCAGGTATAACTAACATATAGTGTTATATTAGTTTCAGGTGTACAATATGATCATTCAACAGTGCTATGCAGTACACAGTGCTCATCACAATAAGTGTACTCTTAATCCTCTTTACTTACTATACCCATCCTGGCACCCACCACCCCTCTGGCAACCACCAGTTTGTTCTCTGTATTTAAGAGTCTGTTTTTTGTCTGTGTATTTTTACTGTTTGTTTTGTTTCTAAATGCCATGTAAGAGTGAAATCAATATGGTATTTGTCTTTCCCTGGCTGACTTATTTCACTCAGCATTATACACTCGAGGTCCATCCATGTTATTGCAAATGGCAAGATCTCATTTGTTTATGGCTGAGGAATATTCCATTGTGTATATATATATACCACATCTCCTTTATCCATTCATTTATCCATGGACACTTAGGTTGCTTCCATATCTTGGCTATTGTAAATAATGCTACAATTAACCGAGGGGTGGATATATCCCTTTAAATTAGATTTTCATATTCCTTGGGTAAATGCCCAGGTAGTACGATTCCTGGATTGTAGGGTATTTTTATTTTTAATTTTTCAAGGAAATTCCATACTGTTTTCCACAGTAGCTGTACCAATTTGCATTCCCACCAAAAGTGCCCGAGGGTTCCTTTTTCTCCACATTCTCGCCAACACTTGTTGTTTCTTGAGTTTTTTGTTTTAGCCATCCTGACAGGTGTGAGGTGATATCTCATTGTGATTTTGGTTTGCATTTTCCGGCCGATGGGTGATGTTGAGCATCTTTTCACGTGTCCATTGGCCATCTGAATGTCTTCTTTGGAGAAATGTCTGTTCATGTCTTTTGCTCATTTTTAAATTGGACTACTTGGTTTTTTAGTGTTGAGTTGTACAAGTTCTTTATATTTTTGGATACTAATATGTGTATGTCAGATATGTCATTTGCAAATATCTTCTCCCCTTCATTAGGTTGTTTTTTTAGTTTTGCTGATTGCTTCCTTTGCTGTGCAGAAGCTTTTTGTTTTGATGTAGTCCCAATAGTTTATTTTTCCTTTTGTTTCCCTTCCCTCAGGAGACATACCTAGAAAAATGTTGCTATGGCTGATGTCAGAGAAATTACTACCTGTTATCTCTTCTAGAATTTTTATGGTATCAGGTTTCCTATTTAGGTCTTTAATCCATTTTGAGTTTATTTCTGTATATGGTGTAAGAAGGTGGTTTAGCTTCATTCTTTTGCATGTAGATGTACAGTTTTCCCATCACTGTTTGTTGAAGAGACTGTCTTTATTGCATATTCTTGCCTCCCTTGTTGAAGATTAATTGACCATATAATTGTGGGCTTATTTCTGGGCTCTCTATTCTGTACCATTGGTTTATATGTCTATTTTTGTGCCAGTACCATACTGTTTTCATTACTATGGCTTTGTAGAATATTATGAAATCTGGGATTGTAATACCTCCAGTTTTGTTCTTTTTAAGCTTGCTTTGGCTATTCAGGGTCTTGTGATGTTCCATACAAATTTTAGTATTATTTGTTCTAGTTCTGTGAGAAATACTATTGGTATTTTGATAAGGATTGCATTAAATCCGTAGATTGCTTTGGGTAGTATGAATGTTTAAACAATATTTGTTCTCCCAGTCTATGAGTATGGGTTATCTTTCCATTTGTTTGTGTCAGCTTCTATTTCTTTCATCAATGTTTTATAGTCAGAGTACAAGTCTTTCACCTCCTTGGTTAAGCTTATTCCTAGGTATTTTATTATCTTTGGTTCAATTGTGAGTGGGACTGTTTCCTTAATTTCTCTTTCTGCTACTTCATTATTGGTGTATAGAAATGCAACAGGTTTCTATATATTGATTTGTATCCTGCTAACTTAATGAATCCATTTATCAGTTCTAGTAGTTTTCTGGTGGAGTCTTCAGGGTTTTCTATATAGAGTATCATGTCATCTGCAAACAGTGAAATTTTTACTTACCAATCCGGATACCTTTTATTTCTTTTTCTTGTCTAATTGCTGTGGCTCAGACTTCCAGTACTATGTTGGGGGAAAAAAAAATTTGTGAGAGTGGGCATCCTTGTCTTTTTCCTGATCTTAAGGAGAAAGCTATCAGTTTTTCACCATTGAGTATGCTGTTAGCTGTGGGGTTTTCATATAAGACCTTTATTATGTTGAGGTATGTTCACTCTAAACCTACTTCGTTGAGGGTTTTTATCATGAAAAATGTCATACTTTGTCAAATGCTTTTTCTGCATCTATTGAAATGATCATATGGTTTGTCTCCATTCCTTTGTTGACATGATGTATTATGTTGATTGATTTGCAAATATTCAACCACACTTGCATCCCAGGAATATCCCACTTGAATCCTGATGAATAATTTTTAATGTACTGTTGGATCCAATTTGCTAATATTTTGTTGAGGATTTTTGTATCTGTGTTCATCAGAGATATTGGCCTGTAATTTCCCTTTTTTGTAGTGTCTTTACATGGTTGTGGTATCAGGGTAATGCTGACTTCATAGAACGAATTGGGAGGCTTTCCTTCATCTTCTATTTTTTTGGAATAGTTTGAGAAGAATAGGTATGAACTCTTCTTTAAATGTTTGGTAGAATATACCTGTGAAGCCATCTCATCCTGGACTTTTGTTTGTTGGGAGTTTTATGATTGCTGACTCAATTTCATTGCTGGTAATCTGTCCAAATTTTCTATTTCTTCCTGATTTAGTTTTGGGGGCTTATATGTTTCTAGGAATGTTTCCATTTCTTCTATGTTGTCTAATTTGTTGGCATATAATTTTTCATGATATTTTACAATCCTTTTCTGTTTTCTGTTTTCTGTGGTGTTGGTTGTGATTTCTTCTCTCTCATTTCTGATTTTGTTTGAGTTCTCTCTCTCTCTTTTATGATGAGTCTGGCTAACGGTTTATCAATTTTGTTGACATTTTCAAAGAACCAGCTCCCGACTATCCATCTGTTCTGTTGTGGTTTTTTTTCTTAATTTTTATTTCATTTATTTCTGCTCTAATCTTTATTATTTCTTTCATTCTACTGGCTTTGGGCTTTGTTCTTTTTTTCTAGCTCCTTTAGGTATAAGGTTAGGTTGTTTATTTGAGATTTTTCGATCTTCTTGGGGTAGGCCTGTGTTGCTATAAACTTCCCTCTCAGAACAGCTTTTGTTGCACCCCAAAGATTTTGGACTGTTATGTTTTCATTTTCATTTGTATCCACGTATTTTTTTCTTTCCTCTTTGATTTCTTAGTTGACCCATTCATCATTTAGTAGTGTATTTAAGTTACATATATATGTTCTTTCCAGATTTTTCTTGTGGTTGATTTCGTTTCATAGCATTGTGGTTGGAAAGGATGCATGGTATGATTTGTCTTTTTGAGTTTGCTGAGATTTATTTTGTGGCCTAATATGTGATCTATTCTGGAGAATGATCCATGTGTACTTGAAAAGAATATGTATTCCACTGTTTTAGGATGGAATATTCTCAATATATCTGTTAAATCCATTTGGTCCAATGTATCCTTCAAAACTACTGTTTCCTTGTTGATTTTCTGTTTGGATGATCTATCCATTGATGTAAGCGGGGTGTTAAAGTCTCCTATTATTATTGTATTACTATTGTTTATTTTCTTTTTTGTTGTTGTTTGCTATGTATTTGGGAGCTCCCATGTTGGGGGCATAAATATTTACAAATATCTTCATGTTGGATTGTTCCCTTTATGATTATGATTCTCTTTATGATTCTTTTCTCTTATTACAGTATTTTAAAGTGTATTTTGTCTGATATAAATATTACTATCCTGACTTTATTTTCACTTCCATTTGCATGATAAATGCTTTTCCATCCCTTTATTTTCAATCTGTATGTGTCTTTAGGACTGAAATGAGTCCCTTGTAGGTAGCATATAGATGGGTCTTGTTTCTTTAATCCATTCCATTACCATATGTCTTTTGTTTGGAGTGTTTAGTCCATTTACATTCAAAATATTGATAGGTATATACTTAGTGCCATTTTCTTACTTGTTGTATTGTTTTTGTAGTTCTTCTCTGTTCTTTTTTTCCTCTTGCTTGCTTCTTTCACATTTTGCTGGCTTTTTTAGTGACATACTCAGATTCCTTTCTCTTTATTTTTTGCATATCTATTACTGGTTTTTTTATTTGTGGTTTC